CCTTCTTCTTAACAAACAGTACTGGGGCTCCCCACGGTGATACGCTCGGCCTTATAAATTTCTTATCCAGTAACTCTTGTAACTGTCTACTTAACTCCATTAGTTCTGATCTCGCCATCCTGTATGGGGTCTTGGAGATTGGTTGGGTGCCGGGCTGGAGTTCGATGGCGAATTCGACCTCTCTATTGGGTGGTAATCCCGGAAGGTCGTATGGGAAAACGTCTGGAAAATCTCTTACCACTGGTATCTCTCGGAGTGCAAGTCTCTTATCCTCGTTACCTATCAAACGTAAACAAAATTGTAATCCATATACATATTCCCGCTAGCACATTTTAATATAACACTCATTCATTCATTGAGATTTTTCTTTCCATACAGAAAAAGGTTCTTTGTTAGGCATCTTAAACACTACCCTCTTACGGAAACAGTCTACATGGGCACGTTGGGCAGCAAGCCAATCCATCCCCAGTATTACATCAAAATCCTTAATGTCTAACAAAATCAGATCCACTTTTAACTTCCTCCCCTCTACATCTACCTCACAAGAATTAAACATCACATCCGTACATAAAGGGCCATTAGTTGGCGTAGATATGACTAACACTCGATCTAACACTCGAGGTTCTATACCTATCCTAGATGCAAACATATGCGATACAAATGAATGTGTGGCATCAGGGTCAATTAGTACTTTAGCAGGAATATCTGAAATGTAAAGTATACCTTGTATTATTTCGGAAGTGGCGGCCGCCTCTGGCGCTGTGATGGCAAACACCCGTCCTTGAACCCACGGTCTACCCGGCTCCTTCGGTAACGGGCAATCACGCACAAAATGTTGAGTGTTTCCGCACCGATAACAGCCCCGCCCGCCGCTCATACATGGTCGATCCCCATGATTTCTACCACATTGGGTGCAATTTGGTTTACTCCGGGATACCTGCTGACTCGGGGCAAAATCCGGTGCTATCCTCTGCCTTTTCTCTATTTGGCCGGAGGGGGGTGGTGGACGTCTGTAACTGAACTCCCCTTTACTGTTCTCAACTTGTTCTTTATACAGTGCTTCCACCAACTGTGCCTTTTCTAACACCATCTGATATGAGGGTAATGCAAACACAGCCACTTGACGATACAGTTCAGACCGTAACCCTTTTTCGAATCTGCGAGCCTTCTTGGTCTCATTCATCATCACCTCGGGCGCGAACCGCCCCAATTCTATGTACCTCTCAGCATATTCTACCACTGACAATCTTCCTTGTCTCAGTTCGGCAAACTCTATTTCCTTCCGTTGTCTCAAGAAATCCGGAAAATACTCTGCATTGAAGGCTTCCAGGAATACTTCCCAAGTGACTGGGGGAGCTAGAGTTCTTCTTTTTAGTTTCCACCAACGCTCAGCGGATCCTCTAAACATAAATGTGGCCAGTTGCACCTTCTGTTCAGTGGTCACTGTGATCACTTCGAATAATTTTTCGGTCTCCTTTATCCAGTCTTCCGCCACCAATGGATCAGTACTCCCATTGAAAGCAGGAGGGTTTAACCTTCGATATTTCTCAATATTGCTGGTATCCACCACACCCTGGTGAATCCCCGGTTGTGGGACCGAGGCTGTCTCAGCCCGTAGTTCTCTATCTCTGATCACCGTGGCCAGACTCTCAACCACTCTACAAAGTCGGTTGAAGTCTTCCTGTTGTACCCCAGGCAGTCCCGTCTGGTTTACCGCTGGGCCAGGCGCGGGCCTCGGTTGTGTGGGAGGGGGCACTGCTTGATACGGGGGTGGCCCGTAAAATGCTGGGAGTGGTACCTGGGGACACCCAGGTGGTCGTTGTGGAATCCCCGGTGAGTCCCGCAGCCCCGGGACAGCCCCGCGACGGGGTCGGCCCCGTCCTTTCTTCGTCACCTCCCTTGATACACCTGCAGGATAGTTATACCAGTTAGTAGGTATACTTAGTTTTGCTCTGATACCAACTGTAACACCCCGTTTTTTTTTTTTTTCTTAACGGTGTACGATAAAGCACCCATACAACACAATACCGAAATCCATATTATTCCAACCATGCACAAGAGATATCCACCTTCCATGTTCCAAATCAATTGTACATACATCTCCACCTCTACAACACATAGTAATACAATATCAAACATTCCTAGATATTCAATATCCAGACTAAACCATCCTTTCAAACTACTTTAAATCACAAACAAAACTTGTGCCCTATGGCACTACCGACGGGGCTCCATTACCAGCCGCTCGGATCCCAATTCCGTCCTTACTCCACCTGTGAATGATGAGAAGTGAGTTCACATAACTCAATACGATAAAAATCAAGTTGTAAGTGTAATATGCAGTGACAAGAATTTCCAGAATGTCTATATGCATTTATCCTACCCAACCCCAAACAACTCATAACCCTCTCCCTACACTAATTATCAAGGTCCCATTCCAAGGCAATAGCACGGCCAAACAACCCCCCCCCCCCCAAACGCCCCCAACACCGCCATACTTTCCCTTCCTTCCCCAATCACCTCCGTGAGCGCGCGGGACAACCCCACGCTTACGGCCTACCTTCACTGCTCCACTCCGTCGCGCCATTGCCGATGCCGCAACCTGCAACCAAATTTCTCTACACACACACACCACACCAAACAACTCAAATTTTCACCGTACCTCCCGTTTCCATCCTCCTTCTTCCTGCCGGTCGCGTCGTCCGTCCACGGCCTCCTTCCCTCTCCCTTCTCGCTCCCCTCCGCCCCGACTCTCTCCTCTCTCCTTCTGGAACTTTCCTCTTCTTCTTCGTCTCCGCTGTCCTCCTTCCCTCCTTTTCTCTTTTTCTCTTTTTCCTTTTCTTTCTTTTTTTTTTTTTTCTTTTCTCCTTTCCTTCTCCTTCTCCCTTTTTCGACCTCCTTTTATACTCTGCCAGCCTACCCCAAAACGACATCGTTTTCCTACATCCCAAAACGACGTCGTTTTTCTTTCTTTCAAAACGACGTCGTTTTTCCCCTCTCTAAAACGACGTCGTTTTTATTATTATTATTTTTTTTTTCTTTCTATTTTTTCAACTTTCTAGTCCTTACAGGCGCCGCCGTGAGTTTTCTCAATTTTTACCTCCGATGAGACTCTCCTTGTTTCCCGTTTGATGTAATTTTTATACCATTGTGGCCACCGTCTTTTTCTCTACAGGTTGACTGGAGCAAAACACCGAATTGCAACTCGTGCCGGATGAGCCGTCGCATCTGAGAGCTTCGCTGCTGGTAAGTCTCGATTTTCTAGAATTTTTTGGCCCACTGAGGGCCCTAGGGGTGTTTTATCACAGGAACTAATGCAAGTTTGGCTGAATCCAGCCAAAAACGGCCGGAAACGGCTAACTCGAGGCGGATCGCCGCCGTCCGTCGCCACTTCGCCGTGCCGGAATTCTAAAATTGGCCTAAAGGGCCCTGGGTCTGATTTGGGGTTTTTTGGGGACATGTGCAGGTACCGGAAGTGTGTTTCAGTTTCTGAAAAAAATTTAGGGAATCTAAGGACTGCCCGTAGGCGCAGTGAGAACCCGATTTTAGATTTCGAAACAAGTAAGGATCTCTCACCCTATTTTCTATCACGGCATTAAAGCCTGATAAATGATAAAACGGTATTTTATGAATTAATAGATATGTATAATTGATTAAGGTTACTAATGGAGCCCAAATCTGATATATTTTCGGTTAGGTGTTGTTTGATTTATTTTACAGTTTTGAATGCAGTATGGTGTCTGATGTGTTTATTCTATGGTTTCATATGCATGAATCACGGTTTCATTTATTATGTTTTGAATTATTGTGAACCCTATGTTGTGTTGCCTTGTTTGATATCCATTATCGGTTTACGTATTTGTGTTTGATTGGATAATTGAGATTAAGAAAAATGGTAAAAATGTATGTGAATTGATAATTTTTTATGTCGACAACCTCACTAGATATCCTGGGAGATGGTGGACGAACCGGGTCCATAGGAAACCCTACCGGGAATGTGGTCTCTCATATCGGACGGGGTATGGAGACTTTATGTATTTTGACGCCCATACCGGATGGGGTATGGGGACAACCCGTTTCACCCTGATACCGGACGAGGTATTAAGGTTTATGGTTTTGGTACCCATACCGGACGAGGTATGGGAACGGCCCTGAAATTGAGTTATTAATGTGAATGGTTCACGTGTAGCGGGGACCCCCTATGGATCCCCATGGATACTAGTAGGCTGATAAAAATAGGGTAATTGTTGTCTGATAATTGAAATACAAAAGCATGATATGTGTTATGTTGCAGAGTGTGCGTAATCTTATGATATCTATGATGTAATTATTTTCATAAATTGTTTTAATGAATCTCACCAATGTAGGTGGATAGTAAAGGGTTTTATTATTGATAAATGAGTTTGTTATAAATTATGCTCCATTGATCGTTTTCGTTTTCTACCAACCTTTACTTCTGTGACAGTGAGATAGTAAGATGTCTTTACTGGATTAATGTAGCTCATTCCTTACTTAACCATTTCAGATCAGGAGGATTTGGTTCTGGAGTCCGTTCTGCAGGAAGACGGCGAGTAGAATCCAAAGAATATATTAGTTTTCCTTACAGTATTCATTCATAGTATTTTCTTTAAGTTATTTTATTTTGTAGCACCCGGAAAGGAGAAAAAAAAAAAAAAAAAAAGGGGGCCACGTCAGCAGCCACGTCAGCAGGCCCGGTCAGCAGTCCCGGCCAACCAGGGCCTGCCACGTGGCAAGATCGCGTCACTCCGAAAGGAGCCACGTTGGCGATCCGCGTGGGTGCGATCCGACGGCCCAGATCAATCGCGCGATCGGACGGCCCAGATTCAAACGCACGGACGGCCCAGATTCAATCAAAAACGAACGGCCCAGATTAAAACGAAATGAACGGCTGTGATCAAAAGGCAAGGGGTTATAAATAGAACCCCCACACCAGACCACAAACCCTAGCCGCCAGCCGCTCGCCGGAGAAGACGAACCAGAGGCCGACCGCCGCCACCCGCCGCCACTCGCCGCAGCACCGGGGAAATTTCCGACCGCCGATCGAGGTAAATTTCATACCCCCGACTCGTTCTTCCCCACTGATTCCTCCTATGGCCAAATCGAAGCCGAAATCCCGGCCAAACGGCCGGAATACGCGGCCGAAGCCCAGCGGCGCCGCCGCGCCCCCTCTCGGTTTTTGCCTCCGACGAGGCCCTTCCCGGCCTCCGTTCGATGCAATTTTTATATCACCGTGATCACCATTCTTTTCTCTACAGGTTGACCGAAGCCAAATCACCAAAACACGAACCTCGCCGGAGAGTCGTCGTACCCGAGAGCGCCGCCGCCGGTAAGCTCCGCTTTTCCGTGATTTTTTGGCCCCCCGAGGGCCCTAGGGTTGTTTTCTGACAAGGACCAATGCGAGAGTGGCCGAATTCGGCCGAAAACAGTCAACCCGAGGCGACTTGCCGCCGCCAGCGGCGGCGCCGTCGCCGGAGCACGGCGGAGCCGCCGTGCCGGAGTTGCGATTTGGGCCGAAAGAGGCCCTGGGCCTAATTTGGATTTTTTTTGGAACACGTGCAGGTACTGTTAGTGTGTTTCAGTTCCCCGGGAAAAATTCAGGGAAAATTAGGGACAGCCTGCAGGCGCACTGTGAATCGTATTCGGATCCCGAAAACAAGTAAGGACCCCTCACCCTATTTCCTATCACGGTATTAAAGTTCAAAATGATAAAACGGTATTTCTTGAATTAACGCATGTGTGAAATTGCTTAAGGTTGCTAATGGAGCCCGAGTCTAGTGTGATTGATGATTTACTGTTATTTGGCCTGTTTACAGCTTTAAATGCAAAATGAGGTTTGATGTGTTCATTTTACAGATTTGTGTGCATGTACTACGTTTTTATTAATTATGGGTTGAATGACTGAAAAACTGATACTGTATGTTGTCTGTTTGGTATGAATTACGATTTGCTTGTTTAAATGTGAATTGATGATGCTGATTGAGGAAAAGGAAAATGAAAGATTGTGTAGACTGATAATTGTATTATGGGGGTCAGCCTGACTAGATATCCTGGGAGATGGTGGACGGACCGGGTCCGTAGGGAACCCTACCGGGATTGTGGTCTCACATGCCGGACGGGGTATGGAGATCTTATGGTTTTGGCGCCCATACCGGACGGGGTATGGGGACGGCCCGTTTCACCCTCATACCGGACGGGGTATTGAGGTTTATGGTTTTGGCGCCCATACCGGACGGGGTATGGGGACGGCCCGTTTCACCCTCATACCGGACGGGGTATTGAGGTTCATGGTTTTGGCGCCCATACCGGACGGGGTATGGGGACGGCCCTGGAAACTGATTATGAATGTTAAAGGTTAACGGGTAGCGGAACCCCTATGGACCCCCACGGATACTAGTAGGCTGGTAAATGAGAAAAAAGATATGTTGTACAATGATTGAATTACAAGAGGCGTGATAAGTGTTATGTTTTACAGCTTAGATTATTCAATGATTATGATAATGTTATTGTTTTTCTCATATTGTTTTCATAAATTCCACCAAGGTAAGTGGATGGTAAAAGTTTTATTATTGATAAAAGGTTTTGTTGTAAATTATGCTCCATTGGTCTTTTTGTGGTTTTCTACCCACCTTTATTTCCGTGACGGTGAGATATCGTGATGTTCTTACTGGGCTAGTGTAGCTCACTCCTTAATTAACCATTTCAGATCAGGAAGACATGGTTCCCGAGCCCGTTCCGCAGGAGGACGACGAAGGGGATGCCTAGAGACTCTGTAGTCATACGCATAGTTTATTTTCGAGTTTTCTTTCTTAGTTAGTTTAACCTTTTATATTTTAAGTACGTTTGTTTGGTTTTTCGTGTAAGGGATGTTAACTGAAATTTTGATCTCGCTTCCGCATTCGATATATTTAAATACTCATTTCATTTTAATATTTTCCGGGGCCGTTACATATTTTTTCATACTTTAATTCGTTTTGGTTATTGTGTAAGGGATATTAATCATAATACATTTTATTTCGCTTTCGCACTTAGAATAAATATATATACATTTCTTTTTAATTTACGGAGCCGTTACAATAGCACAAATATCTAACTCACTGTGCTAACTGTGCTGTTGGTTATTGAATTTTTCAAATTTTTTATATGTAATTCACTCACTTTAATTAGATTTTTATCATAAAACAAATATATGCACCAACAAGTGGTCCATTCAATATTTGAGACTTTAAATTATTCATTTTAGTTGCATCAAGCAACAAATATCTCACAACTTGGACCATATTATTAATTTTTTAGTTACCCTTTTGAGTTATTTAAGTTAATAGATTAATCTACCAAAATATCTCACAAATTGGTTGATAAAATAATATTTAAGGTTTTTAAATAATCAATTAAAAAAATATTAATGAGGATAACGAAATATTAATATAAGAAAATATCTCGCAAATTAATTATAGAAAATTGGAATTATTAAGTAATATAATCAATATCATTATCGTTTTATTACTGGGTCCCACAGTATTGCCCAATTGGCATCTTGTTGCTTACACTTTTATGGTGCCAGCTCATCCCTTTTCCAGATAAGCAAAGAAGATAGAAAGGCTACATCTATGACGTTACACGTGTCGATTATCAAGACGGAGTGACAAGAAGATCAACGGCGCAGGAAAAAACGGCCCTTCGGTTCTCTCAAAAGCCACCTTATCCATCAAACGCTGTCGTTTTAGGAGATGGAAAAAAAAGGGACATGGTTAGATGTATTGGGTATTATTTCATGGGGGATCAACATGGGAGTGGGTCCCACGAGCCTTCAGTTTCTTGATTGATGACAAAAAAAAATCAGGGTGAGATTCACGTGCGAAAAATTGACAAATAACTGGCAGTACTGTCACGGTTGTGGGCCCGATGCCAAGTGGCGACCATCCTACGGTGCGCGTTGCGACGGTGATGGTCAAACGTTTAGACCACCTGATCTTTTTGATCCAAAAGCCGCGTTGCTTGGCTGTCTCGCCGACCACGTTGCTGATTACGTGCCACAACAATCTTATTGGATGTTTGACCACCTATAATAACGTAACGCGTGGCTCGCTGTTGACCGTACGATTTAATGACCGGAGTTGTTTATCAATCATAAAATTTTTTATGTATTTGTCATATTTTATTTTTCAGAAATATAATAATGTTGAGAATATAGTTATAATTATATAAAAAATTAAAGACCTTTATGTGACGTATCCTCTTCTAAATTATTGTTTTGTTACCAATCATGCATTTCATACACATGTAATAAAATGAATATAATATATATATATATGTAATATTTATTTAAAAAATGAGCATGTGATTCAATTATTAGTGAAAAATAACTAAAACTTGGAAGGCATCATAATCATGTGTTAGTTTGACTAATTTAAAGTGGTTATCAATAATCAACAACAAAGTATTTTAATAATTAAAAAATTTTCAGCTCCAATATTATAAATTTCAATGTTAATGAAAATATATAACTCACTATTATTTTATGTATATATTATAAATTAATAATAATTAATCATTAATATTTAATTCAATAAAAATTAATATTTTATTGTTGAACAAAAATTATATATATATGCTTTTGTCTATTAACTATAGCTTGGAGTAAGTTTTTGTTTTAATTTTTACATTTCAAAAATAGGTTTGCAATCAAATAGATAAAATTAAAAAAAAAAAAACATTAACAAAAGTTAAAACCAAAACTTAATATGTCTTTAAACACAAAAATTATAATTTAAAACTTTTAAAAAATGAATTTAGATTTTAATAAAAATTTATATAAAATTTTCAAAGTTATTTATAACAAGTACATAATTTCAATTTTTTTATAAGATAATAAATTTTTTAACAATTATTTTTATCGAATACTCAGTTATTAACCGAATTGATCAAATAAATTCGGACAATCCAGTTTGATTATGCTATATAATTCGATGGGTTAAGTTGATTATGATATTTCGGTTATTTTTTTAGTTTCTAAAATTTTTAAAACGTATAAATTGATTATTCTCTCTTAAATTAATTACGCGATAAATTTTAAAAAAAAATTGTATATACCAATTGATTATTATTATTATTTTAATTTTTACCTTCTAATATAAGTAAGTAGTTTGTAGCTAATTAAAGGGTTAATATCAAAAAACTAATATTGCATTTATATAATTATATCAAATTATATTTTACATTTTTAATTGCATCAATATAAACCTACACTATGCTTATATATCAAGTTATTACTTTTTTTTTTTTGTCTTAAAAAGACCTTATACACACCTACCAAATGAAGATATCAGAAATTGACATGTTGTAAAGGTATTTTTGTCCAAAAATTATTTATAACTTAAGAAAATAGGAAACTTATATATATATATATATATATGTGTGTGTGTGTGTGTGTGTGTGTGTATTATATAATATCCTAAATTTCCGTTCTCTTATCATCTTATTGTTTCTCATCTCCAACATTCTCGAATCAAATTCTACATCAATCTTACAGATTGGGAAATTAAAATTTGAAAATTAAATTAGTCCAAAAAATAATTAAATTCCATATTATATATCATATATAAAGCTTATAGATTTAATATGATATTTTTAATCAATAACTTTTTTTTTTGTTCATAAAAACAATAGGGATACTAAGAAACACAAGATGTACTTTATATATATATATATATATGTAATTACAAGGATTTTGAACCAAATCCCAAAAATTGCTCAAAGAGATTTTCTCATATTACCCAACATCGAAAGCACGGTATATGATATATATATATATATATGTATATATGTATAAACCATATATATACCAACATATGTATGTATATATGTGTGTAATTACTAGGATTTTGAACTGTGATTCCCAAAAAGATTTTCTCATATCACCCAACATTAAAAACATAGTATACGATATGATATATATGTATGTATGTATGTACATACCAACAAATCCCTTACGATTCATAGTATTTATTAATATTTTTTTTTTCCGTTTTTAATTTGCTCCTTTAATATTTCTCAGTATCATAATATTTATTAAAAAATAAATTAAATCCTAACATGTTTTTTTTTTTTCTAAATAATTTGGAGAAAAATGGTGATGGGAGTTTTGAAGGTAGAGAAGTGTCTGAGGTTTGTGATAGCTTCTTTTCTCATCTTCATTATGTGGTTGATTTTGCATCAGTCTAATCATTCCCCTTATCCAAGTTATGTCAAATCATGGCTCTTCACTCCTCAACCTGTAAGATCAACTTTTTTTCTTACTTATACATATATATATATATATATATATATATGTGCGCTGTATGTATTTATGTATGTATGTATTAGGTCTCTTGTCTTGGATGGTTTAATTTTGGATTCTCTTGACAATTTTTAAAATTAAGAAATTGAAATTCATAGTGAAGAGAGAAGAGGTATTAAATTTGTTATTTTTGTAATTTATTTAATGATAAATAAAAGTACAAATTCGTAATTGTAGGGTTAAAATTATTTGTCAAGTTAATTGTGCAAATCATAATTTCTTTCATTATATCAAACAGTTAAAATATTTAACTTGAAATTAAATAAAATAAATACTTTACAATAATTGTATATTATTATGCAATAATTCAGTAATAATTAGTATATGTGTGCATATATAGTTGCAATAATGTAATGGGTTGAAACTAATCTTGATACCAATGCTTTGTTTTTTGTTTCCCAGCCTGCTTATTCCTCCAAAAGCAAAAGCATCTTGTTGCAAGTTCTGAGAAGAGCAACAATGGAAGACAGAACAATCGTATTAACAGTTGTTAACAAAGCATGGGCAACTTCAGGCTCTGTTCTTGACCTCTTCCTTGAGAGCTTTCAAATTGGTCAAGCTACCAAACCCTTGTTGAATCACATTGTGATTGCCACTCTTGATAAACAAGCTTTTCGTTACTGTAATTCAATTCATCCCAATTGCTTCCTTCTCAAAAACTCCTCTCCCAATCAAACTAACCGTAAGATTCAGTCCAAAAACCCGGATCATCCTACTTTTGGTGCCGGTATAATCAATTTGCTCAAACAAGTTCTAGAATTGGGTTACAATGTCGTTTTCACGGTAATATCTTATTCCTCTACTCTCGTGTTCATCATCGCATCATTTCTAAATTTGTCAAGAACATAGACTAAGACATTCTATACTTGGATGAACAAGCTAAATTTGTTCTCAGTCTTTAGCTTAATATTAAGGAACTATGGCCGCAGGAGGCAGATGTGATGTGGCTTAGGAATCCATTTCCACACTTGGACCCTGAAAAAGAAATTGAAGTTACCTGTGATTTCTCCACTGCAAATCAACCAAACATCGAAACCAGAGCAGATGCAGGATTCTTCCACGCCAAGTCATTTGATTCAACCCTTGAAATCTTCAAGATGGTGAAGTTGATGAGGTTCTTGTTTCCCGATTACGAACATAAATCTTTCTGTGAAATCCTGGAGTACACTGGAATCGAAACGAAACTTGGACACCGACTGAATCATCTGAATCTGACGAATTTCGTGGGATTTTGTAATCCAGAAGTAAAGCTGAGCAAGATCAGTACATTCCATGCAAATTGCTGTGAGAATACTAAGAGTAAAGTCCATGAACTCAAGCTTCTCCTTGATGATTGGAAGAAGGTTGCCGCTGCTGGTTTCCAATGGGAGATTTCCTCGTGGAAAGCTCCAACGAAATGCATAGAATGAGGGCATTGCAGGGCGCAGGCAAATAAGTTTGACACCAGCAAAGTAGGGGGGGAGTTCAGAGTTATATGAATGCTTACGTACCTAACAGAAATGTAGAAACATACCAGACAAGGAAGTACACAGAGTATAATGTACCTGCTTGATTCAGTATCAGAGTGATGCTACTTATAGCTTTCCCACTACTTACATCGCTTCGTAGAATTTATGATACATAGGAGGAATAATGACCTCGTGATAATTTTCTCAAAATTCATAGCAATCCAACAATTTTGCGGTAATCAGTTAACATTGTGTAGCTTATTACTGCACTATTTTCTTTTAAATAACACTCAGGTTACCACACCATGTTAAGTATTATTGCAGAAAATTACTGAATTACATGAAATACAATAAGATTAATCAGAGGAACAATTCCTCCAAGAACCCACATCAATCTAGTGTAAACCTTTATCATCATCAGCTTCATTTCTTATAACATCGGTATCCAACATCATCACAAGTAGTGCATCTCTTTGAATCAGTCTCACAATCAAGCTATTTATGTCTTACACCACACACATGACTTAGGGCAACTCTCCAGCATCATCACCCTTTTTTCTCATAATATTTTCATTTCCAATATCATCACAATTTACAAATCTAGTCAGAAAATGGGTAAGGAATAACTATCATTGGGGCAGTAAGTATAATGCAGATTATCTCCTCTTTCACAAGTAATACAGAAATGTAAAAGTTTGCTGTCCATTTGCCAAAAAGACCTTTCACCTTATGTCACATTTAAGAAGCACCTCTTCTACCCCTGCTAAATAAATAAGAGCTACATAACACGTTTGGGAATGAACTGAAACATATATATATTACTTAAAATTGCCAAAATTACAGGGCACTAGGTCAATAAAATAACTCGATCACTTCATGCAACTTACATGGGTCAAAAAACTGGAAAACGAAATCTGTCGAGTCCAAGAACTAAAAGCATAGTGAAATGTTGTCAATATGGGAGATCTCCCTCCGGCATTTCCCAGTTATCTTCATCCTCATCTTTCTTAACTACAGGTGTCTCTTGCTTGTTTTGAAAAGATCTAAACTGGCCCCGCCTGGTCATTGTGCAAAATGGGGAATGGTCAATAATCATCTCCAAGAAATATTTTAACTAAAAGCCAAGCAGAACAAGCCAAAGGACTAGGAAGTCCGCAAAACTGTTCGACATAGACAGGTAATACAAAGACACAAGAAGGATCCTATATTGACTTACTGAAAAGAGTAAAGGATTTCCTTGTAAGAACACATTGTTGGTTTGTCCACAAAAAATGAAACATGGAAGTTACATTTGGCACATTACAACATTTCTACCTTTGATTTCTTTAGTTCATATCTTTACATGCACATGATTGTTCATGAAACCATGTTCTAAAATTTAGGTATAAAATACATGTAAATTCGAGAAATAGAAACAAAGAAATATTTTTTGCTTGGTTTCTTCAAAGGCGATAACCATTCACAGCGCGTGGGGGGGTTTCTCGCCATTGCCAGAAAACTCCATACTCTTAAAACAAATGAAACTGGTAATTTATACATGCCCAAATTTTCTTTCTTATCATCCTAGGAGAAGAACTTGATATTTCAGTTATTCTATAAAAGCTTTGTGATCAAGAAGATCACTGGAATCATATCATTATGACTTATCTTTTCTGTGTTAAAATCCGGTCACGAAACCCAGAAAAGCTTAAATTTATACCCTAATTTAAAGATGAACAGTGAAGTGATCAGGCACGAAGAACGGAACTTTGTTTTTCTCTGCCAAAAAATTCCCTCACACCAAACATAACCAAGCATCCAAACTACCCATTTCCCTATGTACATAAATAATCACTCACCCTAAACTCCCTTCAGTTTTTTGTCCCTGAAGTTTTCCCACCAACCAACCAAGAAAGAAAATAGGAAAAACAGAAAAAAAAAAGGGGGAAAAGTTAAACCTTCGTCGATTACGCTTCGCAGCCTCGCGTGACTTTCTCTTCTTCTCATCCTGCTTATTCTCAAAAAACCTTCTTCTCTTACACTCCTGAATAACCCCAGCTTTCATGACCTCTCTCCTGAACCTGTTCAGCAGCCTCTCCTCCGGCTCGTTGTCGTCCACAATCACCTGCACATTGTACGCTGATCTAAAGAAAAGGGTGTTCGCGTACGCGACAGACGGGCATACTACAGACGACAATTCAGCGGATAGAGACGAAGACGAAGAAGAGTAAGACGAGTGAGCCTCTTGGCCCGCCATTGAAACCGACCCGTTTCTGAGCTTCTGTGCATGAGAAGAGGACGGGAGATGGACATCGGAAGGCGGGAGTTTCGGCGGTGGCGGAGGTGGGTTTGAGGGGAAGAGGAAGGAGATGAAATTGGGGAGAGAGAAGGAAGTAGCCATGGATGGATGATGATGGAATTGTGGATAATAATAATGTTGCATTTTTTTGTTGGTTTCCAATCGGGTCGGATCGGATCTTTAATTTTTAAGGATTCGGGGTAAAAATTGGGCCTCCATTTTGACCCGGATGGTATTTATAAAAGGCCTTTTCCAAAATTCCACATATAAGAGGCCCAAATCTGATATGCTGTAAAAGAGACTTAACCTACCTATATATATATATATAGCAAATAAAATTTGGTGGTGAAATTTATTTAAAATTTATATTTAATTGTATTTATAGAGTGAATTAGGAAAATATTTAAACTAAAAAATGTAAAATAATGGTTAGAGTATTACCCCAAATCTTAGGTCCCTTTTATCAAAGGTCAAAATCCAACAATAAAATGAAATTTGATGATTGGAAATTAAAGTGGAAATTCGAGCAACAAGTGATGTGGAAGGCAAATTTTATGAGCTAAGCCATCCACTATACATATATATGTATGTATATGTATATGTGTCTGTGTGTGTCTCTCTCTATATATATATATATATATATAATATGCTTACCCATTTGCCGGCTACACCGCCACTTCCTCCTCATTGGTCATTACTTCCAATTTTTCTCTTATCCTTCCTCAACTTATAATAAACTTGTCATATATCATACAAGAATATATATATAGTTTATTTTATAAATTGTGTTCTAAAGGATTATGGAATGCTAAACCCAAATCTCTGAAATTTAAAGAATAAAATTATTATTACATCGAATTTGAATGAATTAGATTAAATAAGTTCATAAATAATTTGTTAATTTAATTATTTTTTATTATTTTCAATCAATTTTTTTTTTAATATTTTTAATATTAAATAAATTTTTATATTATGAATTACGTTTAAATTTATAATTTTTAATTAAAATATAAAATTATTCAGTCGTTATAACATAATATTGTTAATTATCAATTAAATTTATAACCACTTGCCCGTTCCCCAATCCTTGTAAGTTCGTGCGTATCTACCTACAATAGGGGGATGACCCAATTTTTAAAGGTTACCCCATAAAAAATGTATGTATATATATATATATATATATATATATATATATATATGTATATAAAATGTTTTGAAAGCCTCCAATAAGCAAATTGTCAATTCTTAAAAAGTGGTTTGTTTAGTAAACCCATATATCTCCATGAAATGGCAAGTATTATTTAATTTTTTACTTAACCAATTAAATCAAAATGATTAATTAAAGCTAGTGGGTTTAGTTTTAATAATTAGGGTTTTGTAAAGTCAGCAGGGCTGCCGGCTTTACCTCTTGTCTACCATCATATCATTCTTAATTAGCCTAAATTTTTAATTTTTAATTTTTACTTTTACATTTTAATGGTGTTTATGATGATGGACAAGGAATATCCGTTCACACTAAGTATATATATATACACCTCATAATGTATTACTAGATAGTTTTTATAAATATCAATTAAATATTTGTAACAATTTAAACCACAAATATAAATAAGTATAAACGTTTATAAAATATTTTTGATTAATAATTATAATAAATATTACATACGCAATTGTATAAAATATTGTACGAATGTCCGTACCCATTTACATTGGAATTTAAACTATTACAATATTGCAAATAAATTGTTCTCGCTTGTTCAACTATTTAATAAATAAAATTATTATTATTATTTTTTATAAATGATCACTAAAAATCAAATTCAATAGAATTTGATTAATTTTTTTATTTTTTGCTATTAAGGTAGAGAACTAAATTAAAAATTATTTTTCTTTATCATAAATTTGTGTAACACTCTTGGGTGTTCTAAAGTCCCAAATTTCACCTGTGCTCTGTTCATTTATATTCATGATCTCATTTAAATCCAAATAAGCAACATGCATTCAATTCAATAGTCAACTACATCAATTCTATTAGTTCTATTTTACAACTAATAGTTTTGAGTGACAAATGATCCAAAAAGGAAAAGAATGTGTGTCTGGTATAGAGTAGTAAACTTGTATAAATGTCGTATGTGAATTTTGTATTCTAGTGTTCAGTTAACTTGATTCCTTTACGTATTGTCCCACCGTCTGGAGTTTTAGCTCTAACTCCTACCCTATTATATCTGCAAATGACATAAAGTAAGAATACTTTAGTCCAATAAAACAAATTCAGAATTTTAAATAAAGCATGAAAATACATTTGAACCCTAAATCCGACACTACCCCTACACTTATAACACAGTACTACTCTCACTTTTTTCTATGACATTTTAGTAATACCTATACGACAAGACCACCATCCCGTTACCTCCACCCATTCTTTCCTCTATGCACACACAACTATCCCACTTCAACTCATATCATTAACTACCATATCAAGTTCCTACCAGCCCTTACGCTACGTTCACTCACCCTATACCTCCACACCACAACAACACCACTTCAACATTACCTCTAGGGCACATCGTCTACGTTTTCTATACCCATACCGACCTTTAATGGCCACACACGCAACTACCACAACAATATTCACACTCCACATAGTGAATACACACATAGCCTCCTCCTAGCCACCACATCACAATCAACCGTGAGCACCATCCATATATATATATAGATATATATATACCGGCCCCAGTTCGGCCACTCATGCACACACCAACCACACATACATACACACAC